ATCGGAGGACATTCAGATAAGATCTTTATCGACGGATACACGATCCTCCCTTTATTGCCTGGAAGATACTGGGATGAAAATTGAACCGTCCGTGGAAAATTAGTCCCGTAAAGATCGTCCCGTAGGAAATATAATTTCTCCAGAGTCGCAAGGAAGCTGGCTGATTTATCGCGTGTTCTCAAAGTCCGCAGATAATTAGCTAGAACGATCCCTTTATGAAGGGTTTGACGGAACGATCTGGGCGGACACGTCTGTCTAATTCCTTTTCATTAGCGGAGGGACGACACCGCGAATGTTTTAGACACGATAATCCGCACTCGACGCTTTAATTGAATCGGGAGCGCAGCGTTTGATAATAATAGAAGACGGTTCCGAGAGGCGAGCCTCGGACGCTCCCGTTAAAAGCGAACGTGATACCGGTGATTTGAACGCGTGGTCGGCCGCAAGCGTCACGCGAGCGACTTCGATGCGGGACACTGGCGCCAAGCGGAGAGCGACTTCGACGCGTGGTAATACACGAGCACAGCGCTCGGTGATTTCAACGCATGGTAATACGGATGTCACGCGAGTGATTTTCTTTGCGTGTCAACGTCGACGTCGGGATTTCCATTATACGGAGAATAAAAATCGTTTATTGCATTGTTAATTGACTTACGGTAAAAACTACACTAATGAAATACTAACATTGTTAATAAGTTAATTTAAGAAATTCATCTAAGAAATTCATTTTTAATCGTACCCATCGAATCGGTTAGAACTATTATTGTTCGAACGTTTCATGTGTCGATACATTGTACAATATTTAATAGATATTTTGAATTGATTGAAAATAGCCTCTCGAGTGTGAAGGGTTGAGAACACTCCGAATCGCGTAGAGTTAAAATAGTCGTGTCTCGGAAGAGAGTCCGTAACACGGATAGTGAAACGAAGCGTACCCTTGACAGTCAGTAGCGATTAATCGAACTCGTTCGTCGGATGCCGCGAGGATGATCGAAAGAAAGGGAAAAGAATGGTCAAGAAAGAGAGGCTTTCCAGACGAGCGACGACCTTCCTTGGAAGACATTGCTTTGCTGGAAGGTGAACGCAGCCGTGCGACCTAGATTCTCATATGGCTGACGAGGGAGAGAAAGAGAAAGAGAGAGAGAGAGAGAGAAAGAGAGGGAGGGAGGGAGAAAGGGTGAGAGGGCCGAGGAGCTGAGAGAAAGAAGACGGATAGAGAGGGAGGAGGAGACGAGAGCAAGACGAAACGAGATGACGATTATAAACGAGAGACGAGCACACGATTTCCTTCTCGACATCGATGCGAATCGAAAGTCCCTGTAACCGGCGGCCGAACACTTTCAGCCTTTTACCTTTTACCGTCCAGCTGCCCGCCGGAATTTCACCGTCACGTTACGCGATTTTACGAAAGGTCCCTTTCGAAACGATTTCCTGCTACGCCAGCGAGTTACACCCACGCGGAGGATTTATCTTGTAGATTGCGGGGTCGTGGTTTTTGTGAATTTTTGTTTCGGATAGATGACAATGGTGGTTCTTGTAGAAAAATTGGTTGAGATTTCTGGAGCAGCTGATTGGCACATGACGATTTCGATCGGTTTTTAGATTTTTAGTTTCTTTAGTTCCTGGATTATGGATTAGGAATTTCTCAGTGATTAACCCGTTGCGGTCCGAAGTGCTCTTGGTTTCTCACTTTGAGGTTCACGTTGACGTTAGTTCATTCAATTACAGTTTAATATGACGCTCTATTTATGATATTTATTCAAGAATATTTGGGAGTAATTGAATTGTTACCTTCAAATGGTACAATTGTGAGGCTACAAATAAATATAGAAAAAATTGTTAAAACAGGTGGAGGTCGCAATAAAATAGAATGTCGAGTCTGACTCGACATAGGACTGCTAAGGGTTAAATGTTCGGAAATATTCGATAAGATAAGAAATTAACACCGAGTAAAAAGGAAATTTTGAACATGGTTTCGTTTGTGTTACGACAGATTAGAGGTTCGCAGAAACACACGTAGCCTACTAATTACAGCAAGTAGATAAGGTCAGCTGTATACTGACACGTCAGTTGAGCTTCGAACGTCACACGAGTTTCGCAAAAACCGTTGCCGACTATCGATCTCCGATCTACGAAACGAAAGAGTTTACGATCATCTCCGGCTACAATGCAATGGATTTATGTCACGGTTCCACAATATTACGTCGTTTCGAGCAATCGATTAACGAGCCAACGCCGACAGCACCGGAACGCTGACGAATCAAAAGTGACCCGCGGTTGCTCAACTTTTACTTCTTTGCCGGAGAATAGACTCCGCTGAAAACGCAACCAGCTCTGTTCCGCCCTGAAAATCAGCCAGATCGCGATCATTATACAGTTTGTCGTTTGGAAATCGCCGGCTGATGAAAATTTTCTCCGTAAATTGCTTGATCTCGAGCATCCTATGCATTTCCAACGTTCACACTCATATTATCATCAACGCGCAACTAAAGAACATCTAATAAAGAAATCTAATGAAAATACGACACAATTCCCTAACATTTCCCATTCAAAACGAACAACAAACACATGTTCAATCACAAAATTTACAAAATTTCCATTAACCCTTTACCACTACTGACGTCTACAGGCGTCGGTAAAACGTTATCAGCAATAATTGCAGTGAAGCTCGCTTGCATCAGACGTAAGTGATCCAATTCAACAATTACATCTTCTATTACTCATACATTATATAAACGTACTTATTTTCTAATTTAGTTTAATTCAATGTTTCCACAGTTTCAATACATTCTCTGAGCAATGCGCACCGAGGCAAAATCTGATAAGCAAAAAGTTAATATCGTTTCTTCATTTAAGCAATTTCAATCTCTACTAATGTTACGACACATTCCCATTAAACCGATAAAATAAATACCCGTCACACGAGTCAAAAGAAATTCGTTCGTTTCTCGATATCAAACGAATGCGTGTCCGTCTAATAACCATACATTACGAAACGCAGCACTTAATAGTGGAAGTCGTTGTCCGGCATTGTTCCCTTTGAAACGACTTTCCGCCGGCGGCATCGGCGTTCTCCAAATTCCGCGTCTCGGGGAAAAGTGATCACGCGACCACGGTCCCGTACGAAACGCGAGGATCGGCAGCGCGTCATTGTTCATCCGGCTGGTTTGCTCTCGAAGTGAAACCGCGCCTCGAAAGAAAGTGGTTTTTTCCCTCTGTCTCGCGCAGCCTCGCATGCGAAAGAGTTTCATTCTCTGCCCGCCGCCGCCGCCGTGGCTATTATATTCTCACCGTGAAGCATTGTCCTCGCCGCTGCGTTTTACGGGCTCTTCACCGTGCGCCGGCGACATCGTGAGTAAACATTTGACACAGTCTCCGTTTTGTGCCTCTCTTTCCCTCGGTTTTCAATCGTCTTTCCGGAGAGATGGATTCTGGTTGCTGATTGATCACCGCTCGTCAAATTAGTCGTATAATGAAAGTAATCACCCTAATGAAACGGAAATTGTATAGTTAAGATGCTTCAGAGTGATTGGTATCTTAATTATCTGTTTATATTTCTATTGAGAGTTGATACTAACATTATTAACTGATGTTTCGAAATTAATATTAACCCTTAGCAGGTTCTTTGTAATCTATCTACAACTGCAACTAATTTTTGTAGTATTCCTAGCGAAAATGGGAAATGCTATAACATTTCTTCGATCTTTTATTTTCCTTCTGAGTACAAAATTTGGACGTGAAGAAAATCGAATAATTTTAGGGTAGTTTCTTTAACCGATTTGAGACCGATTGCACACCGTGTGTGCAATAATAATAATGAGCATTTATCAATTATTCTGAGTAAAGTAGTCGTCGAGATAAGACTCTTCTCGAATTAATAGTATCTGTAAAGTATAGAAAAACAAAATTTGGCATTAGTTTTGTTGCGTACCAGAAAAAGCAAAGCATTCTGTTTGGATTTTCGAAATCTACATTTTTAGAAAATATCAATGCAGGAACCCATATATCTAATTCCATTTTTCAAATCTATCACCAACAGCAATAGCATCGCCTTCTATTCATACTGCCTAAACGAAGCTTAAAACATTCATTAAAATATTTAATATTATAACTGGTGCAATATTGGAGCCTACAGAGTTCAAAGGGTTAAACAGCTCTTCGCATCTCTAGATCGAAGAAAATTCGTCGCAGAGGAAGCAAATTCG